CACCAAGAAGTGAACTACTTTATCTGGCTGCTCAAAATATATGACACATTTACAAATTTGGCTAATAATTAATGTTTTGTGAACTTTTGTTTTACATGAGTTTCTTTTAACAGAAACTCTTCAAAAATAGTCCTTTCCCTTTTGTGTACTTTTTTTTTTTTTTTTTTTTTTTTTTGGTTAGAAGCACAGAGACTGGGTTCTTGTTATTATGCAAAAATTCAGACATACATGTTTTATTTCACTGTAGTCCGAGTGATTTAACATCATAGTAAGTTAGAATAAGCAACATGTACCACATTTCTGGTGTTGAAGAAGGCAAATATGTGTTAATAGCAGTGTCTAGGGAATGTGATATGGGCCTATGACTGTCACCTGTTTGTGTGTATGTGTGTACAATGTCATCTGCCCAGCATACAGCCATTTCCCATGATAGGTCTAGAATTCTTTTTATGTAATGCAGTATCTTAGAAACAAAAGGAAATAGATTTTTTGTTAGCATAGTTTATTTTGATACATTTTTAATGCTTATGTATTTATTTTGAGAGAGAGGGAGAGGAGGAGGGACAAAGAAGGAGGGGGAGAGATAAAATATAAAGCAGTCTCCACAATGTCAGCTTAGAGCTCGATGTAGGGCTTGAACTCATGAACTGTGAGATCAAAACCTGCGCCAAAATCAAGAGTCAGGTGCTTAACCAATTGAGCCACCCAGGTGCCCCTTTTGATGAATTTTTAATACCTTACGTTAAATTGACTGAGATCTAAAATAGGCTATTTCACTCTTTGTTTTGTAACAGCATGTTTTAATGCGAAGTGCATTGGATCTCAGTGTATACTCACTCAGTGAGTGTATACCAGTGGAGTTCATTAAGGAAAGAGCTATGGTCTCAGTTTCTGATTATTGAAAGCAAAAGTTTAATCCTGAACCTAATTTTAATCTAACACATTCCCAGTTCAATCTCCAGTTTCTAACCAATGTGTTGACAGATAATGCATTTTAAAATTAATTACATAAATTATTCCATGGCTTCTTGGATTAGCCTTCTTACTATAAAATTGCTTATATTCTCCACATAATAAATATATTCTACAGACACAAGTTATTATCCCACTTGATAAAATCTCAGAGAAGCTTAGTGTCTTGATCAATGATACACAGCCCGTTGATAGAAAAGCCAGAAAGAGTACCAAGTTCTTCTACTTCATTATCATATCTTGGACATTTTATAAAAGTTTAGGCTTAAAAATTAAAATGCTATCCATTTTGGTCTGGAGTGATTATTAACACATGGTCATTTATAGGTTTTTTAAAGAGAGTGTTAAAAACCTCCATATGTTCTAATCCTGGAAAGTCAGCGTGTTTTACAAATAAGTTAATAATCTTTTAATATGCAAAAAAGGCCAGAATGTCCTCTCAACACTGTCTTAGCCCTTGTATCTTTCTACATAGAAACAAAACAGATGCTTCTTGGCCAAATTCAAAGTAACATTTATCTATATATATTGTGTGGGAAAGCAATTAAAACTGCTTGGTAGACCTACAGGGGAATGGCTGGGTGGGAAAGGTGATGAGTCCCAGACAATGATGGCTGCTCCTGGAAGTCTTAGAGCAAAGAGTAGGGAATGAGTGTGAAATATTTGGCTTCTAATCTTAAGTGTAATCACATTAGCACCTAATGGAATATCAGAGAATAAAGTAATCTGAATTAAAGATTTATCACTGAATATCCTTCCAAATTTGGGGTTTATTTATGTTGTGAAATCTTAGTCTCATGCCTAATAATTTAAATGTCAAGTAACAAAGACAGAGCATGATGAACGATACCCAATAGCTGTAAGCCAGGCTGTCATGTAGTTGTAATAATTCATCATTCATATGAGAGTGGAACCCTTAATAGATGCAGGTGGAATTTTTATTTTTGGCACATGAGGGCACAAAACACAAGTAGGAAAAAAAGAAAGTTGTTTACCTTTGGGTTAGATAATAAAGCTTATTAAAGCCAGAAGAGTGGAACTTTGGTGAGAACTTGAAGAGGGAAATAACGTTAACCAACAACATGCCAGATTCTTTTACTTGTTCCTGCCTTTGGTCCCCATGAGACCCCAAATCTTGCTAATATTTTCTATTATTTTCTTTTACCCTTATCCCTGTCCTCCATAAAGAAACTAAAACTTGTCAAGTAACTTACTTGAAATAATGTAGCAGTGAAGAAAAATTTAAATTTCAACCCAATTAAGTTCTATGTTCCGTGTTCCTTCCACATCCATAAACCATCCCATAAAAATAGCTTTCCCTTTTGGGGGAATAGAGGAACTATCACCTAGACATAGGTGTTTTCCTATGTCTCAAAAGGTGTTTTCCTCTCAAAGAGGGCTGAAATTTTGCACATGGAGTCAGGGGATTTGCGAGGCGCTTTTTCTTGAATGTTTTGCCACCTTAAAACCTGGATTTCTAATTCCATTTCTATTTATTTCCATTTCCATTTCTATTTCTATCTTTCCTATTTCTATTTCAAAATTCCTTAGCATGTCCATACCTAGAAATCTGATTGCAGTGTTCTCTGCACAAAACCAGTTTTCTGCAGCCTTTCGAGGCCGAGTAATCAAGCACATCCAAATAGCTCCAATTTCAAATCATTGTTACTGAAGTAACTGTTAACCAGTGTAATAAGGTATTATGGTCCCTGAATGATAAGCACACTACATTTATTGGCTACATGAGTAAATGCTTTGTTTCATTTCCTTGTTTTTAGAATTTTATCAGTTGAAAATATACAACGTACCTAATCACAGATTTTAAGATTTCGCTCCAGCACTAGATGACAGCACTAAATACTTAGAAAGATATGATTTTAGTCTGATTCTTGATTTCTGAAATGTTAAAATTTGCTTTTTAGATTGAGTAAATATAGCACCTCAAGTAACCTTAACCTTTCCCAAATTACATCTTTTGCCTTAATTTCCCTTCTAGAACGCCAGTCAGAATCCATTCATCTGCCTGTATCTAATCTCTAATATCCAACCACACAAGCATGACTATATTGTTCCCTCAAAACTGCAATTCCCATCAGATTGTGTTAGCGTCTCTCAAGTGTAAAGCCAACTAAGTGAAAATTGTGTGGAAAAATAGTAACAGTGTTTTCTTCCATGGAAATTTCCTTGAGGATGACTAAAAAGTGAAGTTTCATGGGTTAGGAACTTTTGAGGACTTGCTTAGGACCATATACTTATGGTTAGGTCCACATGGTATTTATTAAGATATTCTTCAGTACCTGACATTGCGTGAGGTAAACATGTGAGAAACTTCAGTGTATATATCTAAGCAAAATTTCATGTGGGGAACACGTATAGGAATAACATGTTTTAAAACCAGCGTAAACTCAGAGGACAATTGTATCTTTTATGAATTTTGACTTGAGTATCAATGATTTTATTGTGTCTTTACATTATTCTGAGAATGAAATCTTATACTAAGTTGACCAACAGCATGTCTTTCATTGTTTTCCTATCAATCTTTTGCTGTATCACCAGAGGAATGTTGAAATACTGGATTATTATCTAATGAATTCCAAAGTCAGAGACCTTTGGGTTCACTGTAAGACTTTCTTTAAGGGCTAGACTGCACAAATCCAAAGGGGGGTAATTCCATGCATGAATTTGCTATCTTTATTTGGATTTTATGTATTTTGTTACATTATAGCCATATTACCTCCAGTAAAAATCATTTGTTAATCCCTTTTAATTAACTTCTGAAATAGAGTCAAAGTTAGCTGGCTATGTTTTTACTACTTTGAGTCATTAAACAGATTGTGATATGTTTGTCTTATGTGGTCTAAGGAGTGAAAAGATTTGTCTGAGAATTTTAATCAAATTCTTCGATAGATATTTGAGACATAATTTTTTGGAAATGGAGATAGTGGAATATTATTAGGATGGAAGTATCATATTCTACTTACTATGATCTCTGTTGGCAAATCTGGGCTCTGTTCCCAGCTCCAAATAGAAATGCTAAATTGTCTTGGTTAGATTTCTCATCTATCATATGCTTCAATTTCCCACTTGTCTTTTTAAATTCTTTCTTGGGATTTTGCCAGAATCCACTAGAAAATGTCTCATATACTTTAGGCTTTGAGAGAAAAGACACTGTAAAATGCCTCAATTATCAGAATAAATCTAACCAATTTGTGATTATCCGCTTTGTGATTTTTCTCCCAGAAACCTTTAACCCCAGAGGAGCTTCATTGGCTACTTGGCATAGATCTGATCAGGGGAAATTCACATCATTTCTAGCTAATATGTATATGTAGGTAATACAGAATGCTTTTGATTAATCTGAATTTGCCCAAACTGAATTATAAAACATACCGACTCCATAATCCAGCATGCTTCTCAGACCAAAAGAAATGCATTTAGGAACATATTCCCCGTTTCCTATTATCAATTCCCCTTCTTCCTTGTATAAACATGGGTAGTTTGCACATTAAGAATTGATTTTTAAGGGTGCATTTGTGCTAACATCAATACCATAATCAAAGAATTATCCTTTTATTATAACAATTTAAAGAATTATAATGAGAAATGCATCCATCATTTTTATGTTAAGTCCTTCAGTTCAGTGATTTGATTTAACTTTTGTCATAAGTCTAGGTAAATTGGCAGATATGAGCATTTATCTCACAAAATAGGATGTGGCAGTAACAGGTGTGATTTGCCTGTTTTTCTAGTATTAAGCAAAGTTTTCAAATTCATGCAGTTGGGCCTTGAGAGACAGACTGCGTGTCATATTCATGGGATTTTGTATTTGAAAGACAAATGAAAGCCTTAACACTTTACCCCTGCACCCAGTGAAATTCCTTGGGCACAGTCTTAGTAGTGGGTAAGTGGGTGCATTGAAGTTAGACCACTGTTCTGGAGGTGGTCAGTGTTGTCCAAGATGATCAGGTATCTTTTCACAGCTGGCTTATGGCAATTTATGTTCTTTTGTCTTTTTTTCCCCCCCACAGCTGTTGTGAACTTGGACAATTCTGTGGTTGATCTGGAGACCCTTCAAGCTCTCTATGAGAATGTGAGTAAATAGAAGGAATTTTATGTGTGAGTATATAATACATACACAATCCTTGCCAATATGCACATCTAGACTCATTGCTTTAATGTCCTTTAAGAAAATTTTATCTGGGTGCACTGAATTTACTAAAGTATCAGTTTGCTAAAATACTTTCTAGGAAACTTACTGGACAAATGTATGGCCTCATAATTTCACGGATTGTGGTTCAAAGCATGTTGCGTGTGAGGCCATTCACATTCCCTCTTTTGAAATATAATAGTCAGTACTTACATAGAGGTTAATTTGAGCTGAGCATTGCTCTGCACTAATTTAGTTAATCTTCACATGAAAACTCTGGGTAGGTATTATTATTATCCCCACTTTACATATAAGGAAATTTAGGTATAGCTGGTCAAATGACTTGTTCAAAATCCCATAGCTAATGTGGTATAGCTGGGGTATAATTCATTTGAGTCTGTTTCTCCTAACTGCGTGGTTTGATTCACCAAGTGGCAGAACATTCAAGCTTTCTTCCAGGAGCACTTTTTCTTATGTTGGCAGGAAAAAACAGTAAGGAATCAGAGAAGTAGGACTATAGCGTGATACAGTCTGTGCCTTTGGGAAGTGCAGTCTAGGTGGTGAAACATGAAATGGCTTTAGCTGGGGCATGACATTAAATAACACTGATTCACATAGTAAGAAAGTGCTTTTCTTATCAGGGCCTTTACAGTGCTTCTGAGGAGCTATATGTATGTATTATAAATATACTACTATAGAAATATATAGTTCTAGAACTATATATATTTAGGAGAAAGTCTCAGTGTGGCCCTATTTTATACCTGGTATCTTTGGGCTCTTTTTATTCATTTTGTTCCTTCTCTTGCCTATGATGTGCCTGGTATTTAAGCCTCTGTTCTCTTTAGGGGCATGACCTTAGTTGCCCCAAGTCAAAGAATTCCTGGCTCTGAAAGATATACATACTGAACAGGATGCAGACTTCTTCCCTGACCACCCCCCTTGGGAACAGTGTTTTTGATCTGTGTTTTAAACATATTTATATGTGGTTTCCCCTGTAAAATTTAGACCTTTGTAAAAGAAAATATTTCTTATGGTCCGTTGCATAGAATCTACTGATCAAGTGTAGAGTTGGTACCTGGTCAGCACAATGATCATAGGTGCTCAGTTAGAATGAGTCATTAATGAAGACTGAGAGGGGAAGTTGGAATAGTTGATTATATGGGGTGCCTGGGCGACTTCTTTGGTTAAGCATCCAACTCTTGACTTCAGCTCAGGTCATGATTTTGTGGTTGTGGGATCAAGCACCATATTGAGCTCGGTGCTGAGCTGAGTGTGGAGCCTGCTTGGGATTCTCTCTCTCTCTCTCTCTCTCTCTCTCTCTCTCTCTCTCTTTCCGCCCTTCTCCTCCATTTGTGCACATGCTCTCTCTCTAAATTTTTTTTTTAAATATTTTAAAAAATTGGTTGATTATGTAGTTGTCTCTATGTGATGGAAAACTGGAAAAAATTAATCATGTATTTAGTATATTAGTGTCCCAGTGAAATGGGTATGTAAAACATATCATTTAAATCTTTTTTTAATGTTTATTTATTTTTGAGACAGAGACAGAGCATGAACGGGGGAGGGTCAGAGAGAGAGGGAGACACAGAATCTGAAGCAGGCTCCAGGCTCTGAGCTGTCAGCGCAGAGCCCGACGCGGGGCTCGAACTCACGGACCGTGAGATCATGACCTGAGCCGCAGTCGGACGCTTAACCGACTGAGCCACCCAGGCGCCCCAAAACATATCCATTTAGAGGTACAGAGTTTTCATTTCTCTTGAATCTTTGATGCCAACTCTTTCCCAACCAGGAGAGCCATATGGAAGAAATGTGGGAATACCAGAGAAAGTAATTTCTTCAGCAGATCCTAATGGTGCATGATGTTCATATATATTTAACTGTTTTTCTTATACATACATTGCATATGTGTATATATAAGTGCTTACATATATACATAATATATATGTATGTATATGTATGTGTTGTGTATATTATATTAAGACACACGAATGTCTTAACCTGGTGTATCCATAATGCAGAAATATATACAGAAAAATACAGAAATTGGGAACAACTATATTTATGAGGGAAGTTTAATTTGCAGTGATTTGGAGTATTTTATTTGAGTTTTTAGCCTTTCAGAGCAAATTAATTTCATGAAATAGACATTTCTGACTCTGAACAAACTAGATAGCCATTCAGAATTTGTGTCTAATTTCTCATTATCATACTTCCTGAAAGTTGAAGGAATACTAGCTAGAACTGGTTAAATTTGTGGTTTTCTCTTTGTTGTTGTTGTCAAACAATGGTTTAGGCTTCCAGTATATCAGGAAAACGCAGTGGTGGGGATGGTTCACAGTAATACCGGTTCAAGTAGTAAAAGGCTAGATTTCTTTGTTAGCCATCTATGGTAAGGAGCTTAAAGAATCCATTATAAATAATAGATATTCATGCTAAGAATAGAACTCATACTAATTCCTGGTTAACTTCCACTAAAGTACAAAGAGGGAGAAATATTTGTTTTATCTATGGCAATATCCCCAGCATCTAGAGTTAAGGAATACTGGGCACATAGAAAGTGTTTAGTAAATGTTACATAAAGTTTACATGAATTAATGAATGGAAAAACCTCTTTTGGGCTATCATGTGGTTTTCAGATCCAGTTTTCGTGTTCGAACTGATTGATACCCACTGGAAATAACGATCTGTATTGAACGTCCATTTGTGTTATATTCATTTCTTTAGTAACCTAAGAGGATCATTTGCAAAATAATTAGTTGTTCTTTCCAGGGGGGTCCAGTAGCCCAGTCATAATTTACTGTAACCTGCTAGATATAAAAAGTATGGTTGACAATTTGAAAAGGGTAAATGAAGATTTAAAATGTTTCTAGTTTAAGAATTCTGGGTCATTAAAGAAAGACTACTAGAGACCTATTTATATATAAGTGTTTTCAGTTTTCTAGGGATAAATGCTGAGGCAAAAATATGTGCTCTTTTTAAAATTTTTTTAATGTTTATTTATGTTTGAGAGAGAGAGATACAGGGCACGAGTGGGGGAGGAGCGGAGAGAGAGGGAGATTCTGTAATCCAAAGCAGGCTCCAGGCTCTGAGCTGTCAGCACAGAGCCCGACATGGGGCTCGAACCCACGAACCGTGAGATCATGACCTGAGCCAAAGTCGGACACTTAACCAACTGAGCCACCCAGGTGCCCCCAAAATCTGTGCTCTTTTGAGTAATACATAGCAGTATTGAAGTTCTCCACATTTAGTGAATGAATATGCCTATAACAGCAAGGAACTGCCCCTAATTTAAGATATAATACATATTCCCTATTCATGCAAAATGTATTTGTTCAAATCCCTTCTGTTCAGTTGTTTAGGCTCCTAAAATTCCCTGAATTTTTAGAAATAGTAATAGTTTAATGTCTATTATGCACCAACCATTGTTTCAAGTCCCTTACATATATTAATTCATTAAATCCTCTAAATGCCTTACCTGTGACTTATGAGGAAGAAATACTATTGTTATCTAACCCTTTCTAGGAAATTGAAACACAGCAAGGTTCTCACAACTCAGAGCTCAGTTGACACTTGCTCACCTCTCCTAAGGAATGTGCTCTAAGCACAGAATTTCCTGACTCATGGTGATCACTGAACAGAGCCTTCAGGAAGACCAGAGACAGCACTGGGTGGTGGAAAAGATGGGATAAAAAAAACTCAGAGGAATTCTGTTCAGGTTCCAGCACCACAATTACACAGATATATGCCTTTGTTCTTCAGTTTCCATACTCTCATTTCTAAATGGGGTTCCTAACAATTCGTAATAACAATATCAACTTTTGACACCACCAAATGAATGTAGAAGAGTTTTCTAGACCACTCAATATTATTACGCTTAATTTTTCTTAGAAATAAAAGTAAGTGTAGGCATAGAACTATGAATGTCAAATTGCAGAAGATTGCCTCTGAGGCTGGTAAGATTGAGGGCAACAAAGTTGTGTGCCTTGTAAATTAGAGTAAAACTGGACCTTTTTAATCAAGGGTCTCAAGATTTTGCCAAGTGAAGAAGAATAAATACCTGTATGTGTACAGGCAACATGAATTAATAGAGAATACTGTTTAAATTAAAAGTTATAATTTTCAGAATTATACCACTTTACTCTCAATCATTTTAAAATTTGTTTTAGCTTTTAAAACAATCTCAAAGATACAATAAAGTTGCCAATGTGGTGCAGCAAACTTTTTTTTTTTTGCATTGTTTTCAAATAAATTGCCAATATTAGGCCCTATTATTCCTGAACTTTGGTGCATATTACCTACAAATAAACATACCTTGAAACATTAGGCAACCATCAACATTAGGAAATCAATGCTGGAATATTACTATCATCTAATCCTCAGATCGCAGTAAAATTTTGTCAGTTATTCCAATAATTTCCTTTATATTTGGGACATCTTTCTTTGCAATCTTGTAGTGCTTTTTGTCCTCCTTGCTTTTTTTTTTTTTTTTTTTTTTTTTTTTTTTTTTTTTTTTTTTTTTTTTTTTTTGCTTTATATTACCATTATATGTGCATGTGACCTTTCAACTGACCAATAAATTATTTAGTAGGATTTTTATACTCCATCTTTAGCTTAATGGTTTATATATAATATTCATAATAACTACTAATTAATTAAAGAATGGCCTCTTTTTGTTCTTAGTATGGTCTTATAATTGAAGGAGGCAAAAATGGTTTATGTCATTGTATTTCAAATGCTGTGCTTTTTAGGTAGCTTTCTTAAAAATATGATTTCAGAAATATTTCTTCAAAGATTCAGAATTACTGCATGGATAAGGTTAACCATTACTATACCAGAAATATTTCATTAGGTTGTGTGTAGTTTTTCAATAACTGAATTAAAATAGTGACATTCTGTTGTGGGGAAAACGGAGCATGTTTGTTTCTTGGCATAATTTTAGAGAT